ATAATGTGATGTCACCACTATAACGACTCATGATGTGGTCAGATTCTAAGTAGCCAACTTGAAAGGAGAGAGAGAGAGAGAGAGGGAGAGAGAGAGAGAGAGAGAGAGAGAGAGAGAGAGAGAGAGAGAGAGAGAGAGAGAGAGAGAGAGAGAGAGAGAGAGAGAGAGGGAGGGAGGGAAAAAAACTGCCACTGCAATCAACAAACATATGAAACACTGCCACTAAGTTTACTTAGCTTCATCCTAAGTTATGCGGATCAGGAAACGAGGAGAGAGACAAGGGGAAATTAGATGTTAATTACTGCTGGAAGATGTGGACATGACCAAATAGTAAACAAAATCCTTGCCCTTTAGCCCGAATCCAAGAATCACTAAGTGTTTACTGTACAAGGGGACTACATGGAAGAGTGTGCTCTACACACTTAAGTGTTGACCCCCAGTGACTCAGGAAGGGCTATCTGACAATTCAGGACACATTGGCAAGGGGTCAAGGGTCAGCACAACTATCACAGGTACAATTAACACGCACAAGGGGGAAGCGGTTGATAGTTCAAACATTAGTTTATCTAAGTGGCTTGTCCTATCTTTGGTTTTCTGTTAAAGGTAAACTGAATTGATCATGTACATGACAAGGACTTGAGAATGGTCCTTTCAATCGATTGGCCCACAATCGACTTGAGAATGGTCCAGGACGGACCGAAACGTCGTCGTCCCTTCACTTTCTAGTGTGTGGTTTGGTCCACATTACAAGGACACTGACACAGTACTTAGTTCATTTGACCAGAGGAAACCTGATGTTCGTCCCCAGAGGTACTGCACACACCACTCACTTCCTTGAGTACTGGTTTGGTGTATGTCTGTACACAGTGTATTATATAACTTATTGGGAATGTGAGGTGCTATATGGGATCCTTTGATGTAGATCAGTAATCCCCAGCTGATTAGCAAGGCCACTACATAACTGACAGCATCCTTATGCACTTGACCTGACATGACCTGACCTGACCTGGCCTGGTGTAAGGTGTGAGTTCTCATTGTTCAGCTAGACTGGTCTTCTCAACACGCAGACATGTTCCATTGTTTAACTTCAGCTTCTCTGTTCTGCTGTGTACGGCTCTGTTGTTAGTGTGAGGGTATGGTGTTAGTGCACGGTGTTAGTGCACGGTGTGAGTGCACGGTGTTAGTGCACGGTGTGAGTGCATGGTGTTAGTGCACGGTGTGAGTGACGGGGATGAAGGCGAGATAAAAAGTCGCTTCAACACTCTTCCAAGGGTCTTTGTCCTGTCTCAGATACGCGCGGGGCGAGAGATTTACAGCGTGAGGGCCCCATAAAGTGCGAGTGTGGGCAGTATAGCATAGGGGCGGTGTGGTTTAGGAGCCGAGGGAGAGAAGTTTAGTCAAGACTGCAATACTGGTCCCTAGTTTATGGACGAGATCTGCCCCCAGGACACCCACCTGTGTATGAAAGTTAACACGTCAGTGTTTTCGTTATGCAGGCGTAGAACACACTAACTCCTACACATACAATCCTATGGATCATTTAGCATTCCTGTACGTGTTGCCTTCCCTTATACTTGCTTCCCCTTATACCTGCCTCTCCTTATAACTACCTCCCCTTTTCTTTTAACTTTTTTCCTTTCCCTCTTTCGTAGTTGAGGAACGCGTGCTCCGAAATGTCTTAGAGTTAAGTGTGGCTTGTTAAGCCTCTACTCAGGCCAGAAGATAAGAGAAAGACTAACTGTGTTTCATCCTCAGCAGACAGACTTAGCTGTTGGGTATTATCTAGCCTCTGAGTACCTTAAACTGAATAGGGGTGGAATGATATTTTGTGACTAAATATGTTCTGCAGTCTTTTAATAACTCTTCACAATTAATGTCTAAAGAAGCTTATAATATTTAATGGAATGTGATTTTTGCCGATGATAAAATTTGTTGCATAAAATCTGTGTGGATCCCATCCCATGATGGAGTTGAAAAACATGACATTTTAGATCGATTGGCCAATGAAGTTTGCAGGAAAGAAAACATAACTACTTTGGACCATCTAATGCAATTATTAAACACGTGCAAATTAAAGATATTACTTCAGATTTAGAAGAACTAAGAAATGCCCAATGACCTGAAAGTTTCAATATTAAAAACTATGACAACTTTTGTAATAATAAATATTTGGTCAGCACAGTAACCGGACCAGACAATGTGATGTAGTCATTGCGCGAATTCGCCTTGACTATAGACACATCTGGCAGGTTAGTGAGGCTGAGCCACTACCAGAATGCTCAGCTTGTAAACTCTGTGACAAATCATTAAATACTTCACCTGAACACTATATTTTTAATTGTGAAACTGTAAAAGATGGTAGCCCTCCTGGCCTATGACACAATCAACTATTTCACTTAATCTAGTATTTGATGACATCCTAACCATTTTCCTAAATTTGCTTGTCCATAATAAAGAATGAAGAACGAGAGTTTTATTTGTTATAATTGTTTTTTCTTTAGCTACATCTCTAGTGAATCCGTCCCCGCCCCATGTGGCAGTGAACAATACAAAATTACATTTACAAATTCGTAAACTGAAACTTTTATAATATCGGATGTAGTAGTGTGACCTTATGAAATTTATATATATATATATATATATATATATATATATATATATATATATATATATATATATATATATATATATATATATATATATATATATATATATCATTTGGGTGAGGTGATTGACATTTACACATGATACAACACAAACCAATGGGTATAAAAACATAATAATGGAAGTAACTGCAGAAGGCCTATTGGCCCATGATGTTTCCTCTTGATGCTTCTATATTGGTTCGGAGTCTTGAAGTGGGTAGAATATAGTTGTACCTTAATTGGCTGTTGATTGCTGGTGTTGACTTTTTGATGTGTAGTGCCTCGCAGATGTCGAGCCTCCTGCTATCGCTGTATCTATCGATGATATCTGTTTTGTTTGCTAAGATTTCTCTGGTGGTGGTCTGGTTGTGAGAAGAGATTATATGTTCCTTGATAAAGCCCTGTTGTTTATGCATTGTTATTCGCCTGGAAAGAGACGTTGTTGTCTTGCCTATATACTGAGTTCTTTGGGGCTTACAGTTCCCAAGTGGGCATTTGAAGGCATACACGACGTTGGTATCCTTCAAGGCGTTTTGCTTGGTGTCTGGAGAGTTAAATGTAAAGTTTAAGTTTAACTTTAGAGAGTTAAGTTAAACCAGAAGACGAAATGTGCAAACCGTGGAAAAATGCTCAACAAACAACTGGGAACATTTTATAACACAGTGTAGAGTCACAACCCAGATAATGTTGCCACTGAGATTTAACATCGCAGAAGTTGTTAAAAAACATTGAACATAACCTTACTGACGCCAACATGCGAGTCATTAACACCACCACCAACCCACCTCCCACAGTTCACCACCACCACCCACCTCCCACAGTTCACCACCACCAACCTCCCACAGTTCACCATCACCAACCAACCACCTCCCACACCTCCCACAGTTCACCACCACCAACCCACCCACAGTTCACCACCACCAACCCACCTCCCACAGTTCCCACAGTTCACCACCACCACCCACCTCCCACAGTTCACCACCACCACCCACCTCCCCACAGTCCCACAGTTCACCACCACCACCAACCCACCTCCCACAGTTCACCACCACCAACCTCCCACAGTTCACCACCACCAACCCACCTCCCTCAGTTCACCACCACCAACCCACCTCCCTCAGTTCACCACCACCAACCCACCTCCCTCAGTTCACCACCACCAACCCACCTCCCACTGTTCACCACCACCAACCCACCTCCCACAGTTCACCACCACCAACCCACCTTCCACAGTTCACCACCACCAACCCACCTCCCTCAGTTCACCACCACCAACCCACCTCCCACAGTTCACCACCACCAACCCACCTCCCTCAGTTCACCACCACCAACCCACCTCCCTCAATTACCCCAAACTTCGGTACTTTGTACATGAAAGTGATTTTCAGATAATTATCAAATTAGCGCCTCGTCCCCGACTGAGCTTAGTGATTAAGTCTTCAATCACACTTTCCAAACGTTAAATGAGGTAGTTAAGGGCACGTCCAACCGTGCCTATTAGGCCGCGCACCTTGTTCTTTTTTGTTGGCATGTTAAGAACATAACGTACGTATAATTAGAAGCTCAGGTTCTTTGAAAGGCTTCTAACACGCTTGTTCTCTATGTTAAAAAGAACACATTGTTGCTTTTGATTCCAAGAGACACATATTTTTTTCTATAGCATTTTCGACTGATATACACCAAGACTTGTGGGTTGTGGATCAATTATACATTTAATGAGCAAATTATAATATATTAATAATAATAATAATTATATAAATAATACACGAAGAAATCACACTGAACGAATTGTCAATGTGAAAATCCATTAGAGTACTGAAGTGACTCGAACCAGCGATCGGGGTATTCCCAGCCGAGCACCTAACCTCTGTACCACGACATGCTATAAGTTATACCATCGGGGATTCCGCTTAAGTCACGAGACTTCTGGAGCCCCCCTTCCCCCACCCTCCCCCTGGTGTGGGTCAGGTAGTTCCTCGCCTCTACGGCTGCTTGTTAAGCGTCCAATTGGTACTTTCCAATTCAAATCAACTTCCAACTCAGAAATTTAATTCATCTATAGTTGTATGTTCTGACCTAGTTTACAACGTTTCAAAAATATTATTCATTTGTAGAATATAGAGGTAGAATTTGTAGAATATAGAGGTCATAGAGGTAGAATTTGTAGAGTATAGAGGTCAATCATTAGAGTCTACGCTAGTTTTAATTATAATGTGTGAATGGTAATGAAGGTAGAGGTTTTCTAAGAGAAGCTGTTAACACCTTGTTGTACCCAAAGAACAATAACAATTTAATGTGCTAGTTGGTAGTCGTAGGTGAACAGTGACCAAAAACTCTTCTCTCTCTCATTTTCAGGATCGTGGAAGATGGCTGACAGTGTGGTGACTGTGGTGCTCGTGACTGTCACTACTCTACTGTCGTTGGTGTAGCGTGAGCTGGGCTCTGGGCAGTGACTGGCAACTTCCCGAGTATCACTGCTGATCTAGCAGGACACCTTGCACTGCACCCCATCGATACCAAGCTGTCGATGACCTTGTTCCAGATGAACTCTTGGGGAAACAAAATTTACCATCAACACACTGGAGGAAAAAAACTTAACCCGTTGATCCGTGTGTACTGGAGAGTGTGTAATGGTGTCGTCAACTTCCCAGTGAGCGAGCACCTTCCTTCCCGCCCTGCAGCTCTGTACAGGACCTCGGACACTGTGTGTGTGTGGGTGAGGAAGGTCACTGACAGGAACCTGTCGTAGACGACAGGAGTGTCTCAGCCTCCTAAGACTGCTGTCTGTCTTGCCCCCCAACACCCCGTGCCATGGTACATAGGTACATAGTGTGTGTGTGTGTGTGTGTGTGTGTGTGTGTGTGTGTGTGTGTGTGTGTGTGAGACAGCCTCTTTCGGCTGGTGCAAAGTGTGCAGGCCTTTATTCTTCTAGCGTCTCCATGTGTAGATTTGGGTCCAAATATAGTAAACACACTTTACATTTGCTACCATATTGTAAACATTACCGACACTAAACATATGCTTAGCTATGTTTAAACCAAAACAACACAAGTTAGCATTTCATACCTTGAAAAAAACTGTAGTGCAGGGTAAAAAAAATAGACGCAGTTCTCTACACATTATATCAATTATCAAGCTTTTCCATTTATTAACTTATAAATAACGCCATTAAAAGTAACAGGAGATATTGCAGTTATATAGATATATTAAACTAATTAGATGTGACATCTTGAAACTTGCACTAAATCATAGTAAAAAAAAAAATCTTTCTGCATATATTGACTAGATCAATTTGGCGGGTATTGTAAATACTGACGGCACATCACCTGTAGAGTCAGCAGCTGTTTGGGAACACAGATGTTGACATTTTCCCCTAAACAGCAGTAAATATTTTCGTTTTAACACACATGTTATATATATAAATATATATATATATATAAATATATATATATATATATATATATATATATATATATATATATATATATATATATATATATATATATATATAACTAAAACTCACACCCCAGAAGTGACTCGAACCCATACTCCCACAACTGGTATGTACAGGGACGCCTTAATCCGCTTGACCATCACGACCGGACATAAGGAAGTGATAGCCGAGGCTATTTGAACCACTTCCCCGCCGGCACTCGGATGGTAATCTTGGGCATAGCATTTTATCAAATCACCTCATTCTTTGGGGCACACGTGAGGAACACAAATGCATTTGTGTTCCTCACGTGTGCCCCAAAGAATGAGGTGATTTGATAAAATGCTATGCCCAAGATTACCATCCGAGTGCCGGCGGGGAAGTGGTTCAAATAGCCTCGGCTATCACTTCCTTATGTCCGGTCGTGATGGTCAAGCGGATTAAGGCGTCCCTGTACATACCAGTTGTGGGAGTATGGGTTCGAGTCACTTCTGGGGTGTGAGTTTTCAGTTGTATATAGTCCTGGGGACCATTCAGGCTTGTTTGCATATATATATATATATATATATATATATATATATATATATATATATATATATATAGTATATATATATATATATATATATATATATATATATATATATAAGTATATATATATATATATAAGTATATATATATATATATATATAAGTATATATATATATATATATATATATATATATATATATATATATATATATATATATATATATATATATATATATATATATATATATATATATATATATATATATATATATATATATATATATATATATATATATATATATATATATATATATATATATATATATATATATATATATATATATATATATATATATATATATATATATATATATATATATATATATAGATAATTAGGTAATAGCTATAAACTTGTATGATAGACGCTATATGCCTTACATGTTTACCATAAGCCTTTGAGAACCAAAAAAAAAAATATATTATATCATGTCATTATTATTTTCTTATTTCTCTAATACTAACGACGCGTACAAATATTAATGTATCAACGTGGATGGTAAGGTTGCCTGAGAGTCTCAGTGTGAGGCAGCGTGTATACTGTCGCTCTCCTGGTGTCTGTGTAAGCTTACGGCTAGTGGGCCACAGTGTAGAGCTCTCCTTGTCTTAGCTTACGGCACGTGAGCTAGAGTGGGTGATAGGAGTCTCCTCTCTCTCTCTCTCTCTCTCTCTCTCTCTCTCTCTCTCTCTCTCTCTCTCCCCGTTGTCAGTGTAGCCTCACGGCGCAATAAACACTATCTTGGCTGCTGTATATACTGCTCTTCTTGCCTTTTCCCGAATTCAGCGTAAGTGATGTAAATACAAAAGAATACAGTATACTTTATTTAGGAAGTTATCCTGAACCCATCCTGATGTTTATTTTATATATTTAAGATACTATGAGATATTTAAGCGCGTTGCACTATGGATAGTTGATGGATTATGAGGCCTCAGTAGAGTATTTGCTGTGGCGTAAGCGCATGATACTGTAAGGGTTTGTTAAGGGGTTAGTATGTTTGTGTAACGAAGTGGGTGTAGGAGTGGGGGGGGGAGGAGTCTGGCATGAAATGGGTGAATGAGTGGGTGTAGGAGTGGGCATATGAGTGGGTGTGAGTGAAGTAATCGGTGAAGAAGTGGGCGTGGGAGCGGACGGGGGTGTGACTCGTCGCTGCCCACCACCCACCTGGGCACCTCGTCGCTGCCCACCACCCACCTGGGCACCTCGTCGCTGCCCACCACCCACCTGGGCACCTCGCCGCTGCCCACCACCCACCTGGGCACCTCGCCGCTGCCCACCACCCACCTGGGCACCTCGTCGCTGCCCACCACCCACCTGGGCACCTCGTCGCTGCCCACCACCCACCTGGGCACCTCGTCGCTGCCCACAGCATCTTGCCTATCACTTGCAGAACCGCTGGAGACACCCTCGCCACCCTTGTACATTACATAACACATTTATTTAAAAAGTGTGTGTCCCCATTTTATGTGTAAAGCAAGTTAATGTGTAAATTGACTATGGACATAAGTGCTAATATTTAACACTGACGTAGATTTCAACTCTAGAAGAACACGTAGCTTAGAGGTAACGTTAAATTTGTGTATCAATAATATTGTGAAGCACAAGTGATTGTGAAGAACTAGCCCACTATCGTTTATAAGCCCAGCAGTTTATATCTACGGTGAATTTGATCATAATGTGCAATATATATCTTTTACAACATGCGGCGCGCTCATAGAGTTTACATGCTTCCACTGAGGCAGTATCATTCTCACTATCATCCTTCACACTCACACTATCATCCTTCACACTCTCACTATCATCCTCCATGCTCTCACTACCATCCTTCACACTCACACTATCATCCTTCAGGCTCTCACTACCATCCTTCATGCTCTCACTATCATCCTCCATGCTCTCACTATCATCCTTCACACTCTCACTATCATCCTTCACACTCTCACTACCATCCTTCACACTCTCACTATCATCCTTCACACTCACACTATCATCCTTCATGCTCTCACTACCATCCTTCACATTCACACTATCACCCTTCATGCTCTCACTACCATCCTTCATGCTCTCACTATCATCCTCCATGCTCTCACTATCATCCTTCACACTCTCACTATCATCCTTCACACTCTCACAACCATCCTTCACACTCTCACTATCATCCTTCACACTCACACTATCATCCTTCACACTCTCACCACCATCCTTCACACACTACCATCCTTCACACTCTCACCACCATCCTTCACACTCTCATTACCATCCTTCACACTCTCACCACCATCCTTCACACTCTCATTACCATCCTTCACACTCTCATTACCATCCTTCACACTCTCACTACCATCCTTCACACTCTCACTACCATCCTTCACACTCTCACTACCATCCTTCACACTCTCACTACCATTCTTCACACTCTCACCACCATCCTTCACACTCTCACTACCATCCTTCACACTACCATCCTTCACACTCTCACTACCATCCTTCACACTACCATCTTTCACACTCTCATTATCATCCTTCACACTACCATCCTTCACACTACCATCCTTCACACTACCATCCTTCACACTCTCACTACCATCCTTCACACTACCATCTTTCACACTCTCACTATCATCCTTCACACTACCATCCTTCACACTACCATCCTTCACACTCTCACTATCATCCTTCACACTACCATCCATCACACACTCACTACCATCCTTCATGCTCCAGCAAGCAGCCGGAGACCATCAACTGTACATGCAACAAAGTCAACTATCTGAGGACGCAGAGACCAACGCCCTAACTCGGGCTCTCGAAGCCAGTAATAAATCCGACATGATTGAAAGCCAAACTATTTTACAAAGTGGAAACAGTCAAAACTTTAAGGGGGTTTGGCGTTGTCGGCCGCCAAGGGACCCGCAGATTGCTTTCTTTCCCAGCCGGCTCATCGGGGGAATCCTCTCCCGATGCGCGGGAAATTTTCCCCGTCCCTCGTCTTCGTCAACCACTTCGGAACCACGAGAGAAGAAAATGGTGAGAAGTGAAGCATCTGGAGCCCAGTATTTGGTAGTGTTGATCTTGCAATGTTTTGTTTTTAAAGGCACCTTAAAAGTCGGCGCTGAGCGAGGTGTTAACCAACACTCGATGCTTCGTGGGTTAAAACTATCGAAGGGAAAAAGGGCTCCGGCGAGGCAGTGCTGTTCGTTAATGCACGACGTAAATCATCGTGGCGGTGTATGCGTCCCTCTAGACACAGTGGAGGTTATCTTGGGATGATTTCGGGGCTTTAGTGTCCCCGCGGCCCGGTCCTCGACCAGGCCTCCATCCCCAGGAAGCAGCCCGTGACAGCTGACTAACTCCCAAGTACCTATTTACTGCTAGGTAACAGGGGACCACAGGATCACGCGTCAAGTGTTCTGTCCGCTCAGCCACCGGCTCCCTTATAGATGTAAATGAGATAAATGTTTCGATGCAAAATGTGATGATGTCATCTGCTCTGACTAACGCCTAACCCCGACCCCTACCCTGACTCCTACTCTACCCTAACCCATCCTCTATCCTGATCCATCCCTGCCTATTGTCCATATCTGAGTCGTCTCTTAGCTGCAATCCACACTTGGCCGTATCCCCTGAGTAGCTTTATCCCTCGCTTACGCCTAGCCTCATTCCCCCCTAGCCCAATCTGCAATAACAGATAACGCACTGCAATAAAAGTTATCAATACATTTGATATAACAAATACAATCGTCGAGAGATACATCTGAAATACATGCAGATTTTGGCATGCAAACACCATGCCAGCAGACTAAGACTGTGGCTCTTCCAGGAAAAAAACAAGAATCATACTGACCTCCTTCTTGCTACTCATTATTGCACTGATGAATAGATGAACAAACTTTGCATCAGCTAGCTTCACCTACTTCACAGACAGATCAGTAGGCCGGGAAAGGCAAGAATTCACCTTGTAGTTAGAGCAGGGAATGTTATAGTTAGAGACTATCGAACGAGTGCTCACCTTCACAGATAAGAGACGCGAGTCATTCAAATGGCTTCGGAACACGTTCTTGTTGATTACCTATTCCATGTCATCATACATACAGCTTCGGAACTGCAACCTTGCAACAAAAGCAATTTCATAACAACGTGCATCTGACCACCAGTTATGGCATTGGTGAAGCAACCAAAACGCTAATTACACACAGAAATCACAATTGCGTGATGCATCAAATGAACAAATCGAACTTAATGAATGATTAAGGCAGCGTCTGGGATGCTCTCGAACGCAGGTTCGAATCCTTGTTACGGCCTTTGTGGATTTGTTCAAAACGCTGTTGAATGCATATCAACCAGGTGACAAGTCGCGTAGGAATACCAAAGAACAACATTGCAGATGAAGCTTCAAAATTTGCAACCATAGGAATGTTCACATTTATTCACTACAGTCAGAGATTAAACAATAATTAGAGATATAACAATAACGACGATGTACATAAAGCACCTGGAGCGTCAGGGTGTGTGAGTAGGGGGTCCAAGAGCTTAACCAAGTTTGAACCACTTATTTTAATGAAAGGAAACAATAGAAAAATAAAAGTGCACTAAAAACAACGTAAAGCTTGAACACCCATGTTCATAGGAAATAGGTTTACGAGTTCCAGAAGAAGAAAGAAATTGGCCTGGTATTTTCCCCCCTCACTCTTGGCCCCATCCCTCACCTGGCTAAATCCCATCCTGGCCTCATTCCCCCACCAATTCCCATCCTCCCACCTACGCCCATTCCTCTCACTAAGCCCCATCTTTCACCAATCCCCATCACCCACCTGCTCCCATCCCCCGCCGGGCCACGCAGCAATGGCGGCCGCTTGTCAAAAGCACCGTTGACCGCAAATGGAATTTCCAATTTCGAGCATGTTTTCCCATTAGGAAAAGCAATTTACTCAAATAACAGAAAGTGAATAGAAATTAAAGGAAAATTTACAATTTTCTGGTCACGTCACTCGATGATGGAGTAAAATGATCAGCACAGAGCACGGATAGACGGGTAGTGGTAGACGGGGAGGATTAGACGGGGTACTGCTAGAAAGGTGGTAGCAGTAGTAGTAGGGGAGTGGTGAGAGTTGTGGTAGAGGGGTGGTAGTGGTGGTAGAGGGAATGAGGTGGCTAAGGCTGCCCGACGAGCCACTATGGACAAGCAGCGGCCAGCACTCATTAATGCAGGAGTAAATTAATTCCGGGTCGTGTAAAGACAAGGCCCCGGATTCATCATGTATTTTTGTGTTTATGTCCACTTCCGAAACCTGTATACATCTTTCTCCGGTCACGGGCGGTGTATTCTGTATTTATTGGGCTTGGAAACGACACAAAACAAGGTTATTATTGAGTTATTATTCACAACCCAACCTCGTAGCGCTTCGGAGTTTATTCTCTGATTCATAAGTGCAAATTAAGCCGCCGTTACTAGGGAAAGTTGAACAAGGCTCGTTAGTGCATATATAAGTGCTTGGTTGATCTTGGTTCTCAAATTAATATCTGGCCAGGTTTTTCCCTGAATCTAAATTTCTCCTGTTTATATCCTTTGTTTCGTGATCAATTTTGTGTAAATATATTTAAAAACTTGATTTATGTCCCCTTAGATATACCCTATAATTAATTGACATACCTCAATCATGTTACCCTTTACTCTTCGTCTTGCTAGAGAATGTATAATTGTATACATTGATAATGTATACTTTTGGAAGGTGCAACTTGAGCAGACTATCACAAGATGCTAAAGTGTAACAAGCCGCTTGATGCAGTTCTTACTAACAGTGACCAAAAGGTTCCATATGAGCATTCACTAGTTAACGTGAGGCAAGTTACTTGCACTCCCAGTCTTTAAACCATCTGTTGCTGACGATGCAGTCAGGCAACGGGTTATCTTCTTGAGGTTATCTTGAGATGATTTCGGGGTTTAGTGTCCCCGCGGCCCGGTCCTGAAGCAAGGGAGTAATAGGCTTCTCACATACAAGACTAAATCATGTACTGATTTTTTAATTTTCGTATAACCATCTTATCTCACGTATAAGTTCACACACACACACACGCAGCCAAAGGTGGATGGACCTTCAAGCTACGGGGAAGAATGTTGACCAGACCACACATTAGAAGGTGAAGGGACGACGACGTTTCGATCCGTCCTGGACCATTCTCAAGTCACAATCGACTTGAGAATGGCCCAGAACGGACCGAAATGTCGTCGTCCCTTCACCTTCTAGTGTGTGTGGTCCGGTCAACATTCTTCAGCCACGTTATTGCGACTCATCGCCTGCATACAGGGAAGTTCATATTACCACTGCATACAATGGTAATATGAACTGGAAGACTAGTAATGCAGATTGATTTGATTTGATTGTTGCCGCCGAAGGCGGCTAGTTTATTGTGCACCCCATACTCATCCTGTGAGCGGTAGCGCAAAAACATTACAGAGGGCACAAAAGGTCTTTATCAGACGTCATCTTAGATTATTACATAAACAATTTCTTCTATCCTTCACACCTTATAGTTACAATGTCAGCTAGTTACAGAGAAAGTGCTATTACAAGAGCTACATATTTACAGTAAGTCATCATACATTAATGGTAGGATAATGCAGGTGATGAGTGATCCAGTTGCAGTGACAGTCTTTGTATGAGTCGAACATAACTGTTCAATTGCTGGCACTCGGACTCTGCAGCACCACATACGGGATATAGTCTCGCTCTCTGGCCTAGAAAAGGCTCAAATCCACTCTTTTCTCAAGCTTGATTTCAGACTTTCAGTTGTAGAAACCCAGGTATGCTTGCTTTATCGTTCTTCTGTTCGAGACACCGCCCCGGTTGGTGTACACTCCTGCGAGTATCCTTGGTACTCCCGCGAGTATCCTTGGTATCCAAGGTGTACACGGTACACCTCGCCACACACCCACTCACCTGCACACGACACACTTAAGATTACTTACCTCAAACGACCGCTTGGCACCGTATATACTTTAGTTTTTCCTCTATTGTTTAAAAACGTAATATTTACAATAAAAAAAGTAAACCGAATCATTTGAACCTTACACTCGCAAACACAAACATCACAAGCAACTAATCCGAGAAAAAATTTGCAAAACAGGTTATAGAGAACTAGTTAAACATACGCAACTAGTAACGGAAGCAACGTAATCCAAGAACACCTGACACAATGGTACATAATGGTACAAAACAGGAACATTCCATACAGGAGTAACAAACATGGAAGACAAGCACGTGGTTTACAGTAGAGGCAAATACAATGGTATATCATAATAAACGTCCACAAATTAAAATCACGGTATTTACAATTCCAAGCAGAAGGGAAGGGAAACATGTGAACTAAACACACACACTAGGAATGGCAGAAAATGACAATTCAGTACAAAAACTGTAATTAGCAAACAATACTAGAAAAGAACTTAACACGGCGCACATATAACAAGCCAATAACATAATATACAGCTAGCCACAGAAGACTGCGTAAAACAGTTGTACAAGACACGTATGATACAGAGAGACAGGCCAAAAAAATGACAAATCACAAACACAACCTCAACTGCACTCACATTATGTACAAGTCACAACAAAAATTAAAACTGCGTCACAACACAAATATTTCAATATAATACCCCCCCCCCCCTCGCCCCAAACATGTTCTACACTACCTTATCATCTGTATACCAACAAGATCTTCGATACAGACGTCAACAATAGTACTAACTACTAGAGCGTAGTATTCCGCCTGCTGCGACACCTCCAAACATCTTCACCGTGGCAGGAAAAGCGCCCATAGCTCCCTCTACACCTCCGGGCACCTGCAGGCCACAATAGCTGTAAAAAGACAAAAGCATTAACCGGCAATCGACCAGTATGACAATTCCCACCGGGTCGACCGCCTCGAAGCACGTCCGCAGCTTCGGACGGCACAATAATAATCGGCACAACTCTCCTGCAGTTTCAGATTGATTGATTGATGAAGATTTATTCACCCCAAGAGGTGGC